GAATTATAGGATATCGTTGAATTAATTATGAAAGGACGAGGGAACTATGGCAATCTTTTAAACGAATGAATGACGATTTTAATAAGCGTTCCAGCGTTTAATCCTATAAATATTATTCGCACAGCTTGCGTTTACGTTAAATCAATCATTTGACTAAGCACTAATATCAATTTCTGTTTGGTCGTACGTGCAAATGTTTGTTGGCTACATAAATGTACGCAATCTAAAAGTAATTCCTCTCGTTTAATTAATCTTCATTATGAACATTAATGAAGTTTTCGATTTTTTCCATTTGATGGTACAAAGAAAAAACACTGTTTACGAATGGAACAGTTTCTTAACTAGTCTGAGAGTCTTCATTTATGAATTTGATCAAATTTCTGACTGTACTCATGGAATAGAGTAAATGTAGGAAGCAATGCTTTGCACGAATTAGAAAGAGGAGATGTACGTTAGAAACTGAATGATTGGAACTAACATGTATAAAAAGAGAGCTCTGTTTTTAAACACGAGAGGCATCAAAGAATCGATAGTTTAAAACGAAGGGTAGGAAGGTGTGAGAGAACAATTTGAAACGATGATCTAAACATATATTTTTTTTCTATCCTAGACGATATTAAATAGCTATTTGCAAAGAATAGAAGAGGAGTGGAAAGCACGGAATTACAATCATAATTTCTTGATTAACGAGAGTAAAAATGTACGGGAAATATTATTGAAAGGTCTCTGTTAATCAGACAGTTGAATCCTCTGACCGCGGTACCGTTTTGATTTCTCCGATTGCAGCACCAGTTACAGCAATTGTCGCAGCAACAGAATAATCTCCAGCAAAATAACGCTCAGAGTTTGCAACAGCGTGACAACATGCCGAGAGGAAAGGATTCAAAGCCAAGGGGACGGATGACCGCGTACGCGTTCTTCGTACAAACGTGTCGCCAGGAACACAAGAAGAAGCATCCCGAGGAGAAGATCGTCTTCCGGGAGTTCTCGAAAAAGTGAAAAAGCAGTCAAAATTACTTCCTTGGCCAATCTAGTGTTAAATCCGTTGCCCTTGTCGAAATTGTTTCTACATTAAAAATAAAATATCCTTTCTTTCCTAAATCTTAGACCATGTCCGACAAAGAGAAGAAACGTTTCCATGAAATGGCAGAGAAAGATAAAAAGAGATACGACACGGAGATGCAGAATTACACGCCACCGAAAGGGGAGAGTAAAGGCAGGGGCAAGAAACGCAAACACATCAAAGATCATAACGCTCCTAAAAGATCGCTGTAAGTTTCCATTGAATTAAAACAAAAATTGTTGCCAATTGGAAAGAGTTAGGATTGATTTTTGAAATTCTGTCGAATCCTTAGATCCGCGTTCTTCTGGTTCTGCAACGACGAGCGTGGCAAAGTGAAAATGCTTAATCCCGAATACGGTGTAGGCGACATCGCCAAGGAGCTTGGTAAGAAATGGTCAGACGCAGATCCTGAAACCAAATCTAAGTACGAGGCTATGGCGGAGAAGGACAAGGCTCGATACGAAAGAGTACGTACACGGAGTTGGGGTTTGAATTAGTTAGTTAGAAGATCGGATCGAGACGTGTGTTGCTTCGCCTGTTTAGGAAATGACCGCGTACAAAAAGAAGATGAAAGACGGGGCACCGGTGGTGGGAGTGGTACCAGCGAATACTGTAAAAAGCGACAGCGAAGAGGAGTACAAGGAGGACGATGAATAGCGGATACACGACAAAATTTCATCTATCACCCCGTGTCCTTGATCCTGAAAAAAAAAAAGCATACCTCACCTACTGTACGTACCATTGATCTTAGCGTGAGCGTACTTACACCACTAGGAAAAACAAATAACTAATCACAAGTCCCCGATTATTTACAATAATAATTAAAATACCCGCGATTATAATAATTATTTTAAAATTGTATGTGTGCGTGGTACGGAGAGAGAAAGTCGGATGAATGACATTTGTATTTTAACATAATTGATAGTAACATGTAAAATGGCGTAGGATAGCAGAATGACAACAACAACAAAAAAAAAAAAAGAAAGCAAACAAACGATGATATGGTGCCCGGCTCTGAGTGGAAGGCGCAGGGGCTCGCTGAGAAAACAATTGTTGATATATTGTCTCCATTGCTATGTTGGAACGAACATAGAGAGAGGAAATGCGGGATACGGCGCGGCTCCATAGTTGGGCTGGTGTATCAATCATTACTAGTTTTCGAGACGTTTATCAGTTCAGTTCATTCGCTGCCAGTGTAAGAAGAAGACGATTGTATATCCTTGTACAGAATATTTGTTTAAATCAAATCTGTCGCAGGTCGTGGGGCATGGGGCTGCTTTGTATGAATGTAATTGATTTAAGTACGTGTCGTATAGTTGTAAGTATTAGGATAAGTATATATATTTTAAATGCAAACCTTCGATTCTACATCTGCGTCAACGTGTGATAGTTTCCATGAACAATGTATTCTAAACCATGAGATTGAGCCTTATAGCTTATAAGTAATTGGGATATCGGGAAACACGGAAATATCTAGAGTTCGCAAACATTGATTGGTTGAAAGCAATTGCAACAGCAGTTAAAAAAACGATCACCCAGCCATGGAGCAGTGGTATTGTAAAGTATCTCACAGATCATGATAAAGAAAAGTATTCATTTCCTTTTGACAAGAAAGAAAGAAAGAAAACAAAAATGTGAAGATTATTTTATACGCTTGATCAGAGAATTCTTTTATGTTATTTTACGACTATTACTAATTATAATCTCGATTGTCTCTTCCTTTCTATTTTCTTTTTTTTTAATTAAACAACGAGGAGATGATTAAACGAAATATGAACGAGACTCTTAGTTCTT